ACGCTCACACATGCTTTCCCAGGAGGGTTTGTGTTTCCTTCCAATGTGTTGACCACATGTGCATGGATGAGGGGAATGATTGGAAAGAAGGAAAGAAAGTGCTTCTCTTCTTTGGGGCGCCACTGGAGCAGCGATTCACACAGTTGACCTAAATTTACTGTCATCAGTCTTGACTGATCTATAGATGAGGATGAATGCCTGCGCTTAAGCTGCTGCATTTTTAGGGATGCAAGTAATTGGGTGTGTGTGTGTGTGTGTGTGGCCACTCTTTCTGGGTTTGATGGCGTGTTTTGTTTTCTTGGGGCCCTAACACAGCTGTCTTTGACAGCTGCATCATGAGAAACATCTGAACTGTTGCATCATCTCCTCTCCGTCTCTGTCTCCCTCTCTGCGTTTGGATGGATGTATGGGCAGCTGGACAGAATCACAGGCTGGTCTCCTTTGCGGGCCCTTTTTTTTTTTTTTTTTTTTTTTCCCTTTTCTGGATGGGCCAGTTCAGGAGCAGCGTAGCTGTGAGTTTGTGTGTTTATGCCTGTGTGTGGCAAAGCGCGAGGCGGGTTGTTTACCGTAGATTTATGTGTTTATTTCTCGTGTAAACTTTTAGTAACGCAGGTCAAACATTCAGAGGTGAGACTCCAGCGTAATTTATTAGCACTGCAGGAGATGTGCTGCGTTATCATTTACCAGGAAAAAAGGAGCAGTTTTGCTGCAACACATCATTTTCTGTTTTGCTGACAAAAAAGAAAACTTCTATGCTTTTACAGTTTCAGAGTAGCCTCCCATAAAACACCTGAGGAAACACCTGCTTCCTCTGGCCTGCCCTGAGATTTACCGTTTCTGTCTTTTTATTTTATTTTTGACACCAAACAAAAAAAGCTAAGCTTTTCTTCTTGCCATTTTTCTGGTCTTTCGCTTCTCTTAGGACAGTGGCTCATGTTGGGAAATAAATCTGTTTATATCATGTCATTCAGCTATGACTGAAAAAACTAAGTACACATTAAGATTCAATAATTTGTAGAATGAACTCGAGCAACATTAACTCTCTGCAGTGAGATTCTTTTTGACTTCATTAAACTCTTACATCTTTGAAGAAATCCTGATCAATTTTTTTTTTTTTTTTTTCCCTCTACAACTTGCCTTCATTTTAGTGAGGTTTGTGAATTTGGACTTTGACTGGGCCATGGCAGCATCTTAAGTCTTGCCGCCTTAATCACTTCTGTTGTAGATTTGCTGCTTTCTTTCATAATCCAGTTTCGGTCTCGCTTTAGCTGCCGGGACCCACAGCCTCACATTTGACACTCGTCTTCAGCACACAGAGGACAGAGGATCCATTGATCCACCTTCCCTAAAGGACAGCAGATAAAGATTTGCTACAGGCTGAGATTTATCACAATGGGAGCTCTTTAAAGGTTAAAAAAAACAAACTGGGGACTGACTACTTTGTGTTAACATTAAATCAGAGGTTATGAAATTTACAGCTGTCTTATGAAGATTACCTTAATATTATTTTCAGAAAAGTAACGGACACAATTTTAAACTGGCCATAGACTCATGGATTAGTGATTAACACAACCAGCACAGCTTGCACAAAAACGGCAGCATCTCCTAGGGAACATGAGTCTTTACTTGAACTCTTTTATTTCCACTTAGTTGCCAGCATGTTCCAATCCAACATGATAGACTGAGGTAAAATGCTATAAAGCTGTAATGTCTTTGGCAGATGGCAGACGCTTCCTGCTATCTGTTGGAAGCGTCCTTCTTTGTCAGTCTTTCTCTTCGCAGTCTGGATGAATGACTGACATGTCTAGACATGCATTTTCCTTCCTTTAAATAGCTTCCAACAGTTTCCTCTCACTCTAAGCACCTTACTGATACAGAAAACAGTCTTGTCCCAGTACTGTAACGGGGCCAGTATGCATCAGAGCGCATAAAGTTTACCATTTTGGGTACTGGAACTTTTTTTTTCCCAGCATACATTGCGTACCGAGACCTTTTCCGGTGTTGCACGGGTTTTTGTTTTCCCATCTATAACGTGCTACGGCTGCAACTCCTCACCACCCAGGTGGTAAAAAAAGAAGAAGAAAAAAAAAACCACATGTTCATTGCAAGCTCGTTCCTGTTCTGTACACATGGCGACTACGGCAAGTTCTCTGTGAATTGCCTTATGTGATGGAACCGAAAGTCTACAGTGATGTGCATGTGAGCTTGGGTGTGTAGTTAATAAAAATGGCTCCATTACGCTGTGAATTTAGGTCCTTTGGATTTGATTTAGAACTAGCTTTGTTCTTTAAAATATTTGTACAATAAAACTGAAATGTATATAAAATTACATTTTTCTGTCCCATATTTGTATGATATTAAAACATTGTCTTCCTCCATCAGTAACAACTTCCACACCACATAGTGAGCATGATCTGATGGCACTTGGCTTTTTGCCTTCTCTGATAGGAAATCTTGATTTTTGAGATAAGATTACTAGTTTTATCAGTTAATTTATTTTTTTTGTGGTGCAGTTTGTGGTTGTAACGGGACAAAATCCCGAAAACTTAAAGTGGTGTGAATGAGTTTGCCAGGTGTTGCATGAATGTCCTAGAATGGTCAGATTGCAAAGGCTGATGCCCAGACAATTTCAAATTGCATTGTGCCACACGCATCACCTGACCTCGTTCTCATCCTCATCCTCTGACCTAACTGCTCCAGCAGTCGGAAGTGGAAGCAGCAACAGATGGTAGATGAGTGCGCTACGGAGTGGGAGTGGGGGGAGCTGGTGGAACTCTGTTGTCTGGGATTCCAGCAGGATTAAGCAGAGGAAGCCACGACTTTATTTGTGGTGCTTTAGAGGGTAAAGCTAGAGACGAGACCCCGAAGGTGACGTTATCGCACACACTAGATCCCTCTCACATGCACACACAGCACACACACACACACACACACGCGCAGTACAACTCTGCTGAGCTTTTCTAAACACAAGTCTCAATATTGTGCGGCTTACAGCAGTGTATGAGGAGTAGCGGGACAAAGAGTGTCTTGTACTTTAGGGATGGGTTAGTGGGGTGGGGGGAGTAGTTAGGCCTGCTGGGTCCAGTCCTGGGGGCCAAAGATGGGAATTTTCTGTGAGTATATATACGTCTGTGTGTGTGTATGAACTGAGGAATGCTGCCGTTTGCTGAGTGAAGAGCATGGAGGCTGGAGAGACTGTCTAAACATACGTCTGTTTGCTAAGAATGTGTGTCTGAGAGACGGTAACTGTGAGGAGTATGTGTGAGCAATGGGGAAAGTGTGCTGTGAGCAGCAATGGAAAGCGGTTTGGAGGGAGTGTGTGTGTGTGTGCTCTCCCTCTGCTATGACCTTCTTCTCAATGAGCACTTTCATATCCAGTCTCGCTCCCCACGGTAAGGAAGCAGACGGCGCTGAATGAGGCCTGTCTCTGACTACCTGCGGCCGACTCACTGCACCCACACTGAAGACTTTACTCTGGTTGTGTTTGCATGAGCGTTACCCGTTTGTGCGGTCGAGAAGTGAAGGGAAGGGAGCACGGGCACTGGCGGAAAGGGAGGAGGAGGAGGAAAGAAGATGACCATCAAGGGGGGGAATGTGGAAAAGATGCATTATAGGAGGAATGAAGTGAGGGGATGACGGATGTGAGTAATAGCTGGAGTGAAAGAGGGAGATTCACATAGTAGTGGCTAAAAAAAATTGGGATTGAACGTAGAATCGAGTAAGAGCAGTAACTGAGGTGTTGGAGTCACTTGGGAGGAAATGAGTAAAGGACCCTGGGAGAAGTTTGTGGTAGTCACTTCATCTAAATAAAGTTCGAAAACTCTTCATATCATAGTTTGTTTTTGTTTTTTCCACAAGAGTTTAGATCTGAAGCAACTTTTTTTTGTTTTTTGGTTTTTAAAAAAAAAAAAAAGAAAAAAAGAGAAAAGAAAAACCCTTTAAATTAGATCAGGTGGTGGAAATCCTTTAACACGTGTTTACTCGGGCTGAAAATATTATGTTTTCATGCATGTGTGTTTGTGGTTAGCCAGGGCCTCCTCTGCATGTGCACCTCCGCTGGGTGATTTATTCTAAGGCCAGGTCTGCTTCCAGCTGTCCCCGAGGGGTCCCGATGACTTTAACAGCCGCAGATCTCCATCGCGGAAAGGCAGAGGAGGAGAGGGATGGGGAGGTTTTATTTTTTTGGAGAAGGGAGATGCAGACGGTGGAAAAGTCAACATCAATTTTTAGTCTGTTAATTCTATTTAGAATATTTGTGCTTCGCTTTCACGGGAAAGATTAAAATTTCATCTTGGAGGGAAAGTGTGTAACCCCGTGTTTGTCTCGTACAATAATGCTGCCGTTTCTACCAAAGATGTGTAAAAAAAAAAAAAAAAAAAAAAAATTGTGAAGAGAAATAAAAATTACAGATACGCTTACCTTTTAAACTTAAAAAAATAAATAAGAAAAAATGCCGACTGTGTGGTGGCGGCAACGTCTGGGTGTGAAGATCCATTTTCTTTGTGGGAAAAGAATTAACGGAAAGATGGATGGAGTTAAATAAAACTGGTCCAAAATGTGTTGGACTTGGTTCACATTACATAATATGCATGTCTTTAAATGTCCCAAACTACAGACCAAAATCCAATCAAGAATTTATTGCAAGTCTTGATGAAACCGATGTCCCTAGGTACCCACCATCCAATTTAAGCGAGCACAAGCTGTTCTGTAAAGACGATTGGGCAAAAAATAAAGTTAAGCATTCCAAGAGGAATGAAAACCTTAGCAAAGCACTGTAAAACGGCGCAATGTGACTGCATTGGTAATGTCATTAATGATGTCGATGCACTTGGAGGCACTCTTGAAGCAAACATGGTTTTCTCGTTGGTGGTCCGCCCTGCGCTCTGTGTGGAGCCGTGTTTGTGTCCCTGCATGTGTTCTGCAAATTAACAAATGTAAATGAGAATTTGCTTTAGCTTGACTCGCCCGGTTAAGTAAATACTTGTTGTTCCCCCTTGCAGGTCCTGCTGAGGTTCCCATGATGTCCCCGAATGGGTCAATCCCCCCGATACACGTACCCCCAGGTTACATCTCACAGGTAGGCTGGTTCGCATGTTTTTTTTCCCCCTCACTGGAAAAAAAAGTTACTAGCCAGACTTTTTTTTTTTTTTTTTTTTTTTTTTTTTTTAAATCCCATTAAAAATAAATTTCCCCCTACCAAAAAGGTTTAATTTTTTTTAAAAAAAAAA